CATTGTCCATTGTTGATAAGCCATTCACGCTCCTGGCCTTATCTCGTAGTTGTTCTAGTTCGTTTTTAACAATGTTTAAGTACACCGTACTGACATCCACCGATGGTCGTGAGAGTGGCTCGTCTTCTCTATTGCCATGAAAAGCGACTCTGCCGTATTTCGTTTCCTCCAATCAGACTCCTTTTATAGAATTGCAGACGAACCCCAATCAACAATATGATTCGTTTCTACAACGTGCTCACATATCTTAGAGCCATACTTAACCTTGTTTTTGACTTTTTTTATGTGTTCATTTATTCGAACATTAACTGGCCTAGAAGTTTGGCCCACATAATTTCTGCCACAAGAACACGGGATTTTGTAGACAATGTCTTTTGTATTTTGTTGCTCATTAACGGGTTTTAGTTTTGTGACACGACTACTGTCTTCACACTGTCTTCAAAAATAAATATACTATCCGTAGTCGTGTCACAAAACTAAAACCCGTTAATGAGCAACAAAATACAAAAGACATTGTCTACAAAATCCCGTGTTCTTGTGGCAGAAATTATGTGGGCCAAACTTCTAGGCCAGTTAAAGTACAAAAATCTACGTCAATAATAACACCTCGCCTAAAAGCATGTCGTTCAAAAACACAAATAGTACAACGTAGCCGTTTATATCCACACATTTGACGTGATGTGACAATCTCTTACTCTTGAACGTTGAGAGGACGGAACCCTTGTCTTCCGGGTTGAACAAACTTCTTAGGAGATGACAGATCGGCTTGTTTATACAAAGAAGTTACTTATATAGGCATATTTTTATTAAAGTATGTTTTGTTGAAATTACTGTGTGCATTGATTGAATTAATATAAATGCAGTTTTCAATATCCATGGTAACGAAAATAAATCGGTTGTATGAAAAACTATGGCAAAAGCGATAAACAAAGATACAACAATGATTCGAAGACACATTTAAGTTGATGAGTTAGTAATTCAGTATTTTTTGCTACCGTATTAATAGAAAACCTGTCAAAATTTCAATTGTGATATAATGACACGTTTTCCACGGTAAAATAATTAATTCAGCGTTCAACTAAAGCAAATTAGTTAAGTAAACATTCTGAGCTCCATTCCACTAGCTATAGTGATGTCATGTCATTTAAATACATACTAGTTTTGTTTCCATTGTTAATTATGGTAGTGTTTTATCCACGGTGGATTTAATGAATAATGATATTTCAACTGCGTCCTAGTCGCGTTTTGAAGCACTGGTGAATATCGAGCAGGCATTAGTTGCGCCAACTGACCTGAGTCAGGTAGTCAGGTATTCCTGAATTGCGCCAACTACTCGAGGGAGCCACCCGATACTTTATTAACTGCTCTAAGTGGCAGCTCTCATAGACTGTATCATTATAAGTCGGTTAGGTTTGGTTAGGATAGGTTACGTTAGGTTAGTTTAGGTTAGGATAGGATAAGATAGGTTAGGATGACACGTAAACAAGGACATTCCTTCTGACAGAAACTCACCCCTACTTGGCTAGGGCTTGGTGCAATTAAGGAAATCTTTGGTGCAATTAAAGCACGACCTTAATATCAACTATAAGCCAAGTCTACTCGTAACCCTTTGCAAGATGCTTGATATTACAGTAGCAATAATCTACCTAATTATAAGTTGACCCAAGCTTTTTTTTATGGGGCGCATATCATACGTCCTTCGACATAGGTGCGGATTGTTGGAAAGTCCAATAAAAGGAGAAAGAGACGGATAAATTAATCCAATTGTGAAGGTAAGTGAATGGCCGTAGAATGATTGGCACACATTTTTAGCCGATTTGGAATATCACGACTGGTACAATCATTAGAGGGGATTAAGAAGGATCAACCTGTAAGGTTCGGAAAGGCACGATTGGCACAACCGCCCGGTCAGGCGGGGACACCGAAACTGCCACGGCAATTAGTGAGGATTATAAGGATGTTTTCGAGAGGGGTAGAAACACTGAAACTGCCACGGCAATTAGTGAGGATTATAAGGATGTTTTCGAGAGGGGTAGAAACACTGAAACTGCCACGGAAATTAGTGAGGATTATAAGGATGTTTTCGAGAGGGGTAGAAACACTGAAACTGCCACGGCATATTCCTTAGATAGACTTATAATTCCCATTTTTGTCTCAACCTTTTAATTTCTTTCACAAAAATACGTTGACTGGAAAAATAAGTGATTGATTTGACCTTTTGTATATATATTTTAGGAGTGATTTTCATGTTAATTTTTTGGTGTTGCGACTGCTAGAGTATTTACTTTATAAGTATTTATTCCGTCTCCTGAGAATATGTTTACTTTAATGAATAATAATTTACCACTAAGAAACAAGTTTTATGTTCATTAACCACTTATATAACACTGCATTTTATATTATCTGTTCGACGCTTTTAATTACACTAGAGGTGATCAAATACTAATATAATACTGTAAAACTGTAATATTCAAAAATATTTTTATTCGCCAAAGACGCTAGGTTGCAGAACTACAAATACTGTACCAACCTCCATGCCCTGCAGAGGGGTGGTCACGTGGAATCTCAGTGGAATGCCCTCCTATTCGCTTGACTCATGTAAGGGTATATTTTTCAAATTCCGTATTTCTCAACAGTCTTGTGCTATCCTTCAGAGAGTTAGTAGTAAGGGTTGTGGGTGTGTTAGTTATACTAAGTTGATAGGCTTTCGATGGAGGATAAGGTATTTGAAACGAAGAGAGGGGGTGCGGCGTTGTTAGTAGACGGCTAGCGTTTTTTTACACAATTTGTGGTGTTAATAAGTGGTTTTGCAAGAGAAAAAGTTAGGAAGGATGTCGATCAAAATGCTTCACATAAGAACGAGTAACAGTAACTGAAGCGATTTTAACGCGTATATAAAAAGGTATAGTTTTTATCATGCTTCAACTCATAAAATCGTTAACAAGGTATATTGATGTATATTTTTACTTGGGGTCTCTCAGGCTGAAAAATGTAAATGGCAACAATTCTGCAGTCACTGTAGTGGGTTGAGATAGAGACCTCTAGTTCTTGTCGATATTCTTTCTTTGATATATATATATTTCTTCGACTAATGGCCTATAATATGAGGTGTCACTCGATGGGGTCACCAAAATAACCCATTTTGGGTTTTTGAACAAAATTTGAATACAACAAAAAGTTCACTTGCGTGTCATAGAGACGTGTACAGAGTTTTGTTTTCTTGGCGTAACCCATTAAAAAGTTAATTGGTGATGTCCATACTTTTTCCCAGCCCTATATACGTGAATAAACATAAATATATAATTGAGGTATATTACTAAATAAATATGCAAAAACATACACCGAGTCTCATTTCATTCTGATTAAACATGATAAAATGGGAAGCAAATGCGTGCGTAACATCCGTGACAATTTTCTGTGATCACTGAAACGACCGAGATTATTACTTGCTTTCACGGAAACGCCTAAAAATGGAGAATAGTAGTAAGAAAAAAGTACTTATGGAAAAGTACGTGCTTCTGTGTAGTATGGTGTAAAGGCCATTTCACAGCAGTGTAGCAAAAAAAAGTAATGTTTTGTTTAGGCCTAAATGGGTGCAAAATTGATAGCAACATACTTCAAGAAACAAAGTAGGTCCAAGTCACCGGATTGATTAATTTTTGTTCCGACAAACTGTTGTCGAAGAAGCGTGGCTTTCTTTCTTGTATTTTTTTTTTTCATTTTCCAAAGCACCGTTGATTGCTAAACATGTATCTAATTGTGATTCCTCAATGGCACTGAGAACCGCAAACATATTCGGATGCGGTAAAGAGCAAGATTTGTTAAATTAGCGACAAGGGGTGTCGACCTAGGTCAAATAACGAAAGCTGTGATGTTTGTTCACATTCGCAATACCAATGATGCGTAAGGGTGTGGGTTAACCAGAAGGCGCCCCCTCGCCTACCTAGACTAGTGCTGGCGCAGTACGGGCGTTTGCTAAAGAGGGATTATTTAGACCTGGCGCAGTACGGGTCTACCCTTTTACTTATGTCCTTGAATGTTAGATGGATTAGTTGTGATTTCTATATAGCGGCCGTTTAAAACATGTTTCTACCGTGTCTAGTTCACGAGATATGAGCAATGTTCTAGAACACACCTCAGCGCCACTCCCCCCCCCTCCCCTCAAGTTGTGCACCTGCTGGGAGGGCGGCAACATCGGTTTTTGGCATCTCCAAGGTGCCCCCAACAACAATCAAAAGTCAAAATGAGTTACACTTTCATTACATACGCAATTTTTACAAGTCTACACCGTACTACACGTTGATTTCTGCCGTGCAGCGGCGTCACCCGCGTCACCGTGCCCCTTCATCGGAAACCTCACAAAGCTTTGTAATATTTTGATATAATTACCATATAAAGTGACTTTAGTGTGTTAAAAATATCATAGGCCTACACAGTGAAAAAATGTACTGTTTGTTGTTTAATCGGGTTTTTAATGGATAGTTTAACGTTATTTAGGGGTTTTAATTCAAATTTTTCAATAAATTGTTAAATAGCTCCATTAATATCATAGATACGGGACTTTTTCTTGATATTGTTTTAAAGCAGATGAAGTTGGCAATACAATACCGTTTGGAGCTTGCTTCCATCGTGTCTAGTTCATGAGATATGAGCGATTTTCTGGAACGCGTCTCAGAGCACCTTCCCCCCCTCCCCCTTAAGTTGTGCACCTGCTGGTAGGGCGACAACATCGGTTTTTGTCATCTCCAAGATGCCCCCAAAAACAATCAAAAGTCAAAAAGAGTTACATTTTCAGTGCATACTCAACCCCCTTTAGATGCTGGTCTATTGATAGTTCTGGGACAAACTGATAAGTAAAATTGATGAAATAGTTGTATTATATCTATAAACGTTGTTTTTTATTTATTGCTTTATTAAAAACTATGAAACCTGATCGCTCCGCTTAACTGGCTTTCACTGTTATGAAAGTCAACATAGTTATATGTGGTGGTCTGTTGTAGCGAGTGGACAGTGGCCGGAGCGTGAGAATCCTCACAGTAACCGCATCAGCACTCTGCTGGAGCATTACAAGACAAAGGCACTCCGTGAGAAGATTGAGAAGGAGCGAAAAACTTTCAATGCTCCTCGAAGAGGCTACACACATCTAGCTGTAAGAGTTGATTAGAATATAAAACATTGCTGTCCTTTTGTGGTTTGTGTACTATTATGAAAAGAATGATAAAAATGTTAGTAAAAAGAAAGAACAAGACTTAACCTTTTAATTGTGAACACTGAATAATAATTTCAAACAATAACAAACAACATATGTTCAAAACATCATATGACATCCTCCCCTTCGGACGATTATTGCACTGGGATGATTTGGGCTCTACTTCGTCGCAGTGTTGATCTGTTGTCCTGCTCAATTAGGTAGGATCTTGGCTCTTGAAGTTTAGCCTTCACCACACATTTTCTCTTCAGATCCGGTACCCAAACTGTACAGCCGGGATGAAGATCGGGAAGGTCCCTTGCCCCGTGGCGCTTGTCATATCTGGCCTTCATCCCCTCCCTGATGAGTTTTTCCTTAGCTTGGATCTTTGGATGGTCTGGCAAAGAGGGACGTAGGTTTTCTGTTAAGATAGGGACGGTGCTCCTGATCTTCCTTCCCCTTGAGTAATTCCGCTGGGGACTGTTCGGTAGGAAAGTAGACTAATTTCAACATCTTTACATTTTGACAGGATTTTTTTAGCTGTGCTCACTGCAGACTCAGCAAGACCATTTGACTGAGGCAGTTTAGGGCTGCTGGTGATTATTTCAAACCCCATATCTTCAGAGAATTGCTTCATTACGTCACTACAAAGTTGGCTACCGTTGTCACAACGTAGGTACACCAAACCGTGAAAACATTTTTTTCAGACAAGTAACTATTACATTTGAATTGATAGAGTTTAAAGGTCCAATAATTTCTAGATAAAGAGAAAAGTAGTCTTGGACCACCAGATAATTTTGTCTTAGAACACATAGATCTGCACCAACTACCGACCATGGTAACGTTGGAAAGTCTGTAGGGATGAGTGGCATTGTTGGAATCCTTCTATTCTGCAGGCAAATGAAGCAGTCAGTTACCTTCCTCTCGATATCTTTGTTGATTCCTGGCCACCAAACTGTTTCCTTTGCTAAGCCACGGCATTTAGAAATACCCAGGTGGCCATTGTGGAGTTTGTCTAAAACCAATTCTCGCAGGCTGCGAGGAATAACAATCCTGCCCCCCATCAATATCAATCCCTCATGATCAGCCAAGCTATCTTTGTATTGCGCATAAGCACTGCATCGTTGATCAATCTGGTCCCAACCAGAGTGTATGTACTTCGTTAACAGTTGTAATGTTTCATCTTTTGTGGAATGAGTTTTTATAAGTTCATGTAATGTTTCTCGGACAGGAAGATTCGATAATTGTTCTTTGACATCATCTTCTAGTTCATTGGAAGAAGAATCGTTGATTTCTCCTATAGTAAGATTCGTTTGTTGGGACAACGTACCTGGCACAGTCAACAGTTTGCCTGGTACGTAAGTAATCTCGTAATCAAACATCTGTAACCGAAGACGTAAACGTATTCCCCAGTAGTGTCGTCAAAGGTTTGTGGTCTGTCTGAAGAAGAAAGCGTTTCCCAACCAAATAAATTTTCAGTCTTTCACACAACCAGGTACAGGCCAAGGCTTCTCGTTCAATTTGAGCATACCTTTTCTCTGTTTCTGTCATCGCTCTAGAAATGTACATTACAGGAAAGAACTTTCCATCATGTTCCTGCTCAAGCAAACCACCCAGGGCAAATGAGCTAGCATCAGCAAAAACTCTACTTGAAGCATTGACATCAAATGGTTTTAAAACCGGAGAGCTGGAAATGACCTGTTTAGTCTTCTGAAACGCTTGTTCCTGAGCAGGTGACCATGTGAAGTCGACAAGTAACTCTCTAAGAGGTTGACCAATCGAAGCTGCGTTCGGAACGAATTTCGTGAGATAAGTGAACATTTCAAGGTACCTCTGTAGATCAGTTTTATTCGATGGTGGTTGAAAATCCACAACTGATCTTATTTTGTCTGGATCTATAGATACTCCCTTGTTGCTAATTTCATGCCCTAAAAATCGCACTGTGGATTTTCTGAATTCACATTTCTCTTTGTTCAGTGTTACATTAGCACTTTTGAGAGCTTGCAAGACTTTTCCTAGACGGATATCGTGTTCTTCAACCGTATTTCCCCAAACTAAGATATCGTCCATCATATTGACACATCCCTCAAGACCCTCTAAGAGTTTTGATACTCTCCTCTGAAAATGTTCGGGTGCAGACGATATTCCAAATGGCAGTCGGTTGTAGCAATACCGTCCAAAAGGCGTAATAAACGTCGTGAGACGTTTGGATTCTTCCGTCAGTAATATTTGCCAGAAACCCATTCTTGCATCAAGTTTACTGAACACCTGAGCGTTAGAAATTCTTGAGAATATTTGCAGAAGCAATCGCTCCCTTACAATATAACGATTGAGCTCAGTGAAGTCTCCACAAAGACGAATGGCTCCTGACTTCTTTGGAGCCACAACTATAGGGGCGCACCACTCCGTAGCTTCTTCGACTTTGGAAATAAATAATGCCATTGTTCTCCATTTTAAACAGTTCTTTTACTTTTTCGAACAGAGGCAGGGGAACCCTTCGAGGGGATGAATTAGCATATGGCTTAGCATCCTCGACAAGTTTGATATGATGAGGACCGCCTTTCATTACTCCGGGAACATCGGAAAACAGCGTCACAAACGTATCCCTCTGTTCTACTATATTACTGTCGTTAACCTGATTAACTTTGGAGGAAAAAATGAGTAAATTTAAAGCATGTATTGCTGGTCTACCAAGTAAAGGGTTCTTAAACTCTTTTAACACATAAATCTTTTGATTGGACGACTTACCAGATGCAACTACCCTCAATTCCCCTTCAAATGTTCCTAAGCAGGAGAGAGTTCCTTTACCAGCGTGTTCAACTACACCTTCGTAGTTTTGTAAATCACTTTCAGATTTACCTAACATTGACAGCAGATTAACAGGTACATGTGATATCAGCCCCAGTATCTATTTTGAAAACCAACAAAACACCATTGACTGACATTGTTACTTCCAAAGGAGGAACAAAATCTGATTTTGTAAGTAAACTCTAATTGGATAAGGAATCCTAAATAACATTACTAGCAACACTAGTGACAACATTATCATCGTTTTCTTTGCCCCCGTATGAGTCTTTTCCCTCAAATATCACATGTACTTTTTTAGATTTACAAACACTAGAAAAATGTCCAATTTTCTTACATGTAAAACAGGTTGCCTCTTTAGCTGGACATAAGTTTGTGCCATGTGGTTTAGATGCACCACAATGATAGCAAACAAACGAGGTTGAATACTTGGATTTCCTTGATACCACGAAAGTAGAGAGTGTACTCTTACTATCTGTCCTGTCCTGGTCCTCCCTTAAGAAATTTTGCTAAGACTTAACATTTTCAGATTGTTTAACTCTATCAATGGCTCTCTCTAGGGTTAACTCTGGGTCCATTTGAAGAGAGAGAGACAGTTTTTCATCAGAAATCCCAACCACGATTCTGTCAGGTCAAAGAGACACCGTATGAATTCATTTACAGGTTCGCCTTCTTTTTGATTACGTTTATCAAACATGGCCCTCTCGTATATAATGTTAGTCTTCTTTGCGAAATGTTTGTGAAAACATGCTGTAACAAAATCATAATCACCAAGAGTTTCACCACCTAAGTTAAAACTTTCGAGAATAGTCTCGGCTTTAGGGCCCATTGTAAGAATTAACGTGTTGATTTGGGTTTCATCAGACTCTAAAATCTATTTTGATGCTAACCTATATCTCTCAAATGTCCGGAACCAAATTTCCCATTCTGAATCAACAAACGAAAAGGGTTGCGGTGTCTGACCCTTGTACCTAAACTCCTGACGAACGAGTGTTCCATTAGAACTTACTGTTTGTGACTGTAGGCTACACTAAAATTTGGATCCTCTTGACCTTTCCTTTGTCTTCTCTTGGACATTTTACGCACCTGACACCATGTACTATTATGAAAAGAATGATAAAAATGTTAGTAAAAAGAAAAAACAAGACTTAACCTTTTAATTGTGAACACTGAATAATAATTTCAAACAATAACAAACAACATATGTTCAAAACATCATATGACAGTTTGGCACCAGAAGGTGTGTGCTTAGCGAGGCGTAATTTCGTCCAGTTCTCACAGCTACGTCATGTGTGAGCTGAACGTGTTTTATTTTACCAAATAATATATTTTCTTGTAATTTCTCAAATACTTTCGAATGACATTGGTCACGAATTAGCATTGAATACATAACACTATTTAGTGTTATATAACTAGTGGCTTGTAGGGACATAAGTCCCTAAAAAGCTCAAATGTAAAACAAATTAGGCTATTGTAATAAATATTGTAATATTAAACAAACTCAGAATAAAATTTGTACCTATGTAACAGGATAGATGTCCCTGTACTGTAGAATGGCTCGAATTTTTAATTTTTTTGTAATCAAATTCTAATAGCGAGGAAAACTTGCGCATAGACGTCATAATGAAGGGAAAAATAATACAAATTTTTTTTTTAAATTTGCAAAAGTTAAAAAAAAGAAAAAACCGGTAATTTTCAAAAATACGTAAAAAATTTTTTTTTTCTAATAGTAAAAAAAGTGCTTTAAAGACTGGCCTTAATGCATATAAATAAAAATTAGACCCATTCCCATTGAACTGAAATCGCGCAAAAGGCCTAAAGTTGCAGGACTTTTCGTAAAAAAACGATTTTTCATGATTTTTAAACATATGCCAAAACCATAATTTTTTTAATTTAAATTTGTAATAGTGTGGAAACTATTCTAAATAGTTTACCAACCACGTAAATCATACTTTCAGACCTGGTATTCTTTTACTGTATTCGCGCAAAAGGCCGAAGTACAGTACAAGTAAGTTATTGTTTGTGCAATGTACGACTAACTAAAAATGGCATTTTCTATATCTAATGAGTGTAACACATTAAGGTTTGTATTAAGACACTAACAAGTGATATTCAAACAAATGTATTAGCCAAAAACATCATGTTACACTACACAA